ACCACTTCCTATTATTCTTTATCCTTTAAAGTAAAATTATAACTACAAATATACTACCACCACCTCCTGCAATATATAATAGTGCTAATAAACTTCTTCAAAACATTCAAGCATTTGCCAATTCTCAAGATTATAAGTTGGTTAAAAAAAGAACATGTAAAGATCAATGTGGTAACTTGAAAAATATTCTATTGCATTGTGATCAAGGTGAAATTTATAGTAACTCAAGAATACTACAAAGGCAAACAAGTACTCGATTAATTAACTGTCTTTTTGAGGTAAAAGCTACCTGATATGATGGTAAATAGCATGTAAAACAAGTTCATGATATTGATCATAACCATGATCTCTCTAAAGACTTATCTGAACATCCAATATCTCATAGACTCACGAAGCAACAATTAACAAATGTTGCAGAAATAACTTCATCTAGCTTATGTCCTTGAGAAATCATATCAACTATTCGTCAAAATGAACCATCAGCACTTGTAATAAGTAAAGATATTTATAATACATATAATTAACTTTGGCAATGAAATTTAGCTAGTCGTACTCTAGTTGAGGTATTAATAAATGAGCTTAAAGAGGGTGATTACATGTATAAATATAAATGTAATAATATTGGTCAAATTACCCACTTTTTCTTTATACATAATAAATCAATAAAGCTTACTCGTCGATATTCGTCTGTTCTTCTTATAGATTGTACCTATAAGACAAATAAATTTAAAATGCCTTTGTTAAATATTGTTAGAATAACTTGTTTTAATACTACCTTTTTTTCATATTTCATCTTTATGAAAGATGAGGATGAAGAAGATTATCTCTGGGCATTAACTTGTATTGCTCAATTATTTGATGATATACTAAAGCCTGGTGTTATATTAATGGACAGAAAACTAGCTCTTATAAATACTCTTAAAACAAGCTTTCTGAATTCAACTAATTTGTTATGCCTATAGCATATTAATAAAAATATAATGAAAAACTGTAAATCACAATTCAGAGATAATAAATGGCAGGCTTTTTTTTCAGAATAGAATAAGGTTGTTCAATCACTTACAGAAGACAAATTCAATATGAAATGAAATAAGTTTTGTAATAGTTATATAAATAAACCCAATGCTATAAGCTATCTTGAAGAAGTTTGGATTCCTTGGAAAGAAAAATACATAAAAGTATAGACAAATAAGCTTCTTTATTTAGGAACAACCGTTACTTCTCGAGTTGAAGGTTTATATGCAACTATTAAAATATACATTTGTACATCAGCAGGTGATCTTTGTGATATCTATATAAAAATTTCTCTGGCAGTAGAAAACCAAAAAAAAAAAATAGACACCATGGCTGTATTAGAAAAAATTCACATTCCAATTTTTGCACAAAATAATTCTTTATATGTAAAGTTTCAACTTTTGCTCTTAAAAAGATAGAAGAGCAGTATCAAAATATTATACAAGAACTTTTACCACCATATACTGAATCTTTTTCAAGCACAATAGGATTATCTTGCACTTATAAAATCTAACTTTTTAAAAATAATCGAGGCTTAACACTTGATGATTTTTGTGAATTCAAACTTGCTTATCCATACTACCTGTTGAGGAAAGCAACGAATTACAACCTCTTTTGCAAGCTCTACAAGAAAGGTATGAAGAGTGGTCAGAACACTAGCAAGCAACTATCTGGAAAAAGTTAAACAGCATAATTAATATCTCAACAACAATCTTACAAAATCCTCAAGTTGCTCGTACTAAAGGAAGACCTCCTAGCGCATCTAATTATAGAACAGATATTAAACCAGAAGAGATCCTTCTGGGTTTGAGTTAATAGAACATAGGGTAAAACAATGCACTTTTTGCAAACTGCCTGGACACTATGCTAATACTTGTCTAACTAAAGCCTAAATCAATACAGTGTCACTTTTGTTAACATTAAGTTGAAGTATATTGCTGTTATAAATGCTATATTCATATATACGTACAATATACAGTAGGTTTGTTAATTGATAATCTCTGTAAAATTAACTGTATAATCTAGTAATTCAGTCCTGCAATAATTAAAATAATACTTATCTAGGATATGATTTGCATCGTAATATCAAATTGAACTTCAAATTTAATTTTTGGATTCCTCTTGATATGTTCTATAATATCTACAGAGCTATTTTTTTATTTTACATGTTTTAAAGCAAAATTAGCTACAAAAACATAGTGTTAATAAAATGAAAGATGGTTTTGTAGCATTATAGAGCATGCTAAGAGGAATCTAAAAATCATAGTCGCATATATAGTAGAAATCCAAAGTTATATATATATACCTTGATTGAATTTTTAGTACTATTTATATGTATATACAGTATACTTAATCTGTTAAGTTATATAAAGCTAACCCAACCTGTATTGGTGTCTACTTTTGGCTACATTCTCTATTCAAGATATCAATTTTTAGTTAATTTTGAAGTACAAACAGGTACGTATAAGCAGTTGCAGCTGCAATAGTCTAATTATAAAACAAATAAACTATTACATAAACATCTTGATTATTACGTATATGTAGTATAAATAATTAACAAAAAAAAACCTCATATTACATCATATGTAATTGGCTAAAATGTTTTTTATAGGGAGGGGGGTATAAATAGCAAAAGTGGAAGGTACAAATAGTACCACCCTATATAAGAGAGATGAGGGTATTGTGGACACCTTAAGGTTCTTACTAGTAAAACTTTTTATTGTGTACTTAAAATTCCATACTATAATTACTATATAAACTACACCCAATACAAAGTAGAACTAATATAAAAAAACATTGTACAACAAACCAATTTAAAATATAAATAAACATTACATGAGGGGTATAAAATTCTAATTTTGGCGAAAGAGGGGAGTATTGTGGTCAATTCAAAAAAATTTTTTTTTTTTATTCGGTTCTAATTTTTTTACATCTTTCTCTTTGTCATGCCTTTTCTTTATTTTGTCGTTCCTCTTCTTTATTTTGTCAAGCCTTTTTTTCATTTTTTCTTGCTTTTTTTTCATTTTCTCATTTTTTTTCTTCCTTTTGTTGTGCCTTTTCTTCCTTTTGTTGTGCTTTTTCTTTTTTTTGTCGGGCTCTTTCTTCTTTTTTTTGGGCTATTATTTTTTTTTTTCAGGTTGCTTCAGCAA